TTCGTTTTTCTTGTTTGCTGTCAGATTCCTCTTTTCGGTAACTTCTGCTCCTTTGCCTCCAGTAAGTAGTGTGTACTTTTTCTTTATCTAGGAATCATGTCTACTGATTCTGCTGATCCTTTCTACTGGTTGCGAGTTATCTTGGCCTCAAATCGTGGTACTTTGATGGAACTTGGCATCTCACCTATTGTCACATCCGGTCTGATTATGCAGCTGTTGGCTGGTGCTAAGATCATTGAAGTTGGTGACACCCCCAAAGATCGAGCGCTTTTCAATGGAGCCCAGAAATGTAGGAAATCAATTTTATATCATTTAATTATGTTTATTTACAATCTTACAGTATTCGGTATGGTAATCACTGTCGGACAAGCAATTGTGTATGTGATGTCTGGTCTTTACGGAGATCCTTCTGAAATAGGAGCTGGTATCTGTCTGCTTATCGTTGTCCAGCTGGTCATTGCTGGTCTCATCGTACTATTGCTCGATGAGTTGCTCCAGGTGAGTTTTCATCCTTGATGTCTTAGATTTGAGTAATTAAGTTAATGAAAGTGCAACACGTATTTGTTTATTGAGTCCCTCGTTGTTATTACCAGCCCATGTTTACTAGTAAGTCCTACTTCACAGACAGATGAATCATATCTAAAAATGTGCTTGCTGTGAATTATGTCGTAGATAAGTCATATGTAGGCTGAAAATGTTTATCTCACAAATTTCTTTTTATTTTGGACGTCTTAAAACTTCATTTCATCTACAGAAGGGATATGGTCTTGGATCTGGAATTTCCCTCTTTATTGCCACCAACATCTGCGAGACTATCGTATGGAAGGCATTCTCACCGGCGACGATGAATACTGGACGAGGAACCGAGTTCGAAGGAGCTGTCATAGCGTTATTCCATCTTCTTGCTACTCGCACTGACAAGGTAACCTTTTGTTTTCCAAAAAAGGACATTAGTTATTTGAATCACCACGGAAGGTATTGCCCTTATCACAGGTTCGAGCTCTGCGTGAAGCTTTCTATCGTAACAATCTGCCGAACTTGATGAATCTCATGGCTACGTTTGTCGTCTTCGGTGTCGTAATTTACTTCCAAGTAAGTTTTTTTCTCGTTCTTTCTTACATCATCCATTCCATCGGCTGCATTTAAGGGCTTCCGTGTTGATCTTCCCATAAAATCGGCTCGCTATCGCGGGCAGTACAGCAGCTATCCCATTAAGCTGTTCTACACTTCCAATATCCCAATCATTCTGCAGTCGGCACTCGTCTCAAACCTTTACGTTATCTCACAAGTATGTCCTACATTTCTTATGTTTTTGGTCAGCGAAATAATTGATGTTGCAGATGCTCGCTGCGAAATTCGGAGGAAACTTCCTGGTTAACTTGCTTGGAACCTGGTCAGATGCATCAGGAAGCTATCGTAGCTATCCTACTGGAGGTACTATTTCCTTTTTCATAGTTTCAGACTTTCGAGAAAATGATTTGTAAGAGTGAGCAACTCAACATAGCGGAGGTTGGAAAGTGCTAGAGTCACTTATTGAGAAACATAAGTTAATCCTGATTGCTTTTTGCTGGTAAATTCAGTGAAACAGATTATATCCAATTAATCACCATTCTTACATATAGGATTTCCACTGACATGCTCAATACCGTTTGCATAATTTTACAGCATTTCTTCTGTACCTCAAATCGGTGCATCAGTGATGTAATCAAACTCACAACTTTATATGTCTCTAATCGTATTTGCTAACGGATTGAATATCAAAAAAATTTTAATAGGCTTAAACCTTATCATAGGTTCTAATGATTCTTTTGTGTAGAACTTCAGTTTTTGAAGTGTTAATTCTTTAAGGTATCTGCTATTACCTCTCTCCGCCAGACACTCTGTCTCACGTGCTTGAGGATCCTATCCACTGCATCATCTATATAATCTTTATGCTTGGATCGTGCGCTTTCTTCTCGAAAACATGGATTGATGTGTCCGGATCATCTGCAAAGGACGTAGCGAAGCAGCTGAAAGAGCAACAAATGGTGATGCGTGGTCACCGAGAAAAGTCTATGATTCACGAGCTCAACAGGTACATCCCCACGGCTGCCGCATTCGGCGGTCTTTGCATCGGTGCTCTATCCGTAACTGCGGACTTTATGGGCGCTATTGGAAGTGGAACTGGTATCCTTCTTGCAGTAACTATCATCTATCAATATTTTGAGATCTTTGTTAAAGAACAACAAGAAATGGGAGGCATGGCTGCCATGTTCTTCTAAATTGTTTATATACGCCTTTAATTTATTCTTCTCACGTGTTTGTTGTTGTCTTTTAGATATTTGTAATAAATGTCTATGAATTTATCTCCTTCTTAGCGACATGTTTTGTGCTGTGATTGTTTGTTCTTGAAGTACAGGAGGTGTACATTACAAGTATCTTTAGCG